TACTTTTAAAAGCAACTGTAATTTGAAATGGAGGTACAAATCAGAGCCCCTTTCAGACATAGACTGGCATCCGGAACTTTTCCAGACGTCACTCAGAGGGGCTGTATGTGTGAATGCAAATGTCCGAAACAATCGTACTGGATATTTAATGGACTTTACACTCCTAGCTCCCTGGAACAAATCCCAGATCATTTCTGATTAATGCCCTTGTTTAAATGGAGCAGGGAACTTTCCAGAGAATTCACCTTGAGCTAGTTGACATTTTTATAATGTGACTGCCGCAAAAATATAAAAATACAAGCAGTCAGAAAATTCTGTCAGTAAGGGCCGATGCCAAAATCGTCTGACAGATCCAAGGGACGACAAGAGACTCAGTTGTGTATAATTAGATTGCAAACTCACTACATGACCGTGGTGTTTTCCATACAAAAGCACAGAACAGCAAACACCTTTGATGCGCTGTAAACAAAACACTGCGATTTCTGCAGCATACCTTACAGTCACGTTCCCCCTCCTGTATGCCACCCCCATGCAGCACACGTGTGAAAGGGCAACTCCAGGAAATGTCTGGACATGATCCTACGGAAAATATCTGGAGTTTATGTGTGAAAACGGCTTTTACACTGAGGATAATACCTAGTCATCATGAACACAGCGATTCTTCATAATGTAGCTGTTTCTACAGAACTACCTTCATATGAACTGTAGAGATGTGAGCATCCTTTGCACAGCAGTGTGACCTCCGTCCAGGGTCAAAACAAGGAAGCATCGCTCTGTAAGGAGAACGTTTTGACTTCTCTAGCATGCAAGACATCAGATGGAGAAGCATTTTCTGTTTAGCCAGGAAACAGGTTTTTCCACTATGCCATTCACTTTTTTTTTGAGAATTCACAGTGCAGTGGTTCACAAGCAGATTTGCTGCAGTGAATTAACCAGCATTTCAAAATGGTTACTGTTCAAAAATAAGCACAACACATGTCACTCATGTAGCCATTTTGTGCGTTAGAATAGAAAGACCTTTAGGTTATAATGCATGGTCAGAGGCTCCTGGGCTGTTTCAGTTTCCAGAGCCCCCGCCCCCCCCCCGCCCCCCCATTATTTTCATAGATGATAAAACTTGACAGATGGGAGGGGGGTGATGGTAAAAGTTTTTTTTAAGGCCTCTTTGTAGCGGAAGCCCGTGCATTAAAGTGGTCCTGTCTGTGTGCTTGATTTAATACATGTATGTCATGTAAAGTGTGGTCTGATCAATAAAGGAAGAGACTATCAATTTCAGAAGGGGGTCGACCCCCAGAGCAGTACCTACAGGTTTATATATGACATAATCTGATCAGTTCAGTATTAAATCCATAATCATTCCCAAACACATATGCTACTAGTGTAAAACGTTTTGGGTTTTTGTTGGATTCTTTTTCTGAATAGTGAAAATTCAATGCTTCACATTAAAAGTACAGTGATGTGCCCACACTCAGTACTTCACATTAAAAGTGCAGAAAGGTGACCATTCTAGCATTTCACATTAAAAGTACAGTGATGTGCCCACACTCAGCACTTCACATTAAAAGTACATAAATGTGACCATTCTAGCATGTCACATTAAAAGTGCAGAAAGGTGACCATTCTAGCATGTCACATTAAAAGTACAGTGATGTGCCCACACTCAGTACTTCACATTAAAAGTGCAGAAAGGTGACCATTCTAGCATTTCACATTAAAAGTACAGTGATGTGCCCACACTCAGTACTTCACATTAAAAGTGCAGAAAGGTGACCATTCTAGCATTTCACATTAAATGTACAGTGATGTGCCCACACTCAGCACTTCACATTAAAAGTGCATAAATGTGACCATTCTAGCATGTCACATTAAAAGTGCAGATGTTTGTCCATTTTCAGAGCTTAATTTCGAAAGTATAAAATGATCAGAAGTGTAGAAATGTGCCCATTTACAGAGCTTTATATTATTAGTATAAAATGTGATCACTCTAAAATTGTAGAAATGTGCCCATTCGTAGAGTCTGTCACCATTAAAAGTCTCCAAGTAACAAGGTAGATAATGAAACACACTGCAGTCCTGGCCGCAGGGATGGAGTACAGGCAGCCTGAGGTCAGCGGCACATGGGAAAGGAGGCCGCTGGATGAGAGGCAGTCTCACCTCAACGACTTCCTTCTGACTGCCTGCAGTAAATCCTAATGCACTTTCAACAATTAGCTCTAAGCAGAAAAGGGGATCACAACACAGGTCATATGGGAGGAGGGGCGGATTAGGGGCAAGGAAGAGGCAGGACTGATGGCTTCTGACATAAATTAAAGTGGGCCACAGTAATCGGTCAATCCTGTCCGGGTACCAAGGGCCCAGTGTCCTGCATTGTAATAATACCACTCTACGGGACACTCAGAATGGGCATCTACCCTAAACCAGTGTTTCTCAAACCAGTCCTCAGGCCCCAGACGGTTCACGTTTTTGCTCCCTCCCAGCTCCCGGGGAATTGGGAGAGAGCAAAGACGTGGACTGTCTGGCGATCCCAAAGGACTGGTTTGAGAAACACTGCCCTAATCCATTCCTTATGGGTATTAAATCACTCTCTGATCATAAATGCACAGTAGTAGATCTCCTATTGGGATTTTTGCAAACTTTTAATGTTATATCGCTATGTTACCAGGATTATGACAGATAAGGAGTGTAAGGGAGGGGTGACGTGTGCTAATGAATCAACATGTACATGAAACATGCGTGATCCACCATGAACACAGCTGATGTTGCTTTGGGAACTAATGTAATAAAATGTATTGCTTCTACATAACAGGTATACTATTCATCTACAGGCAGAATCTAATTAAGTGTGTAGTTTTAGTGGCAACCTGGTAATGAGGTTAAGAGCATAAGACATGGGTCATGTGACCACAGAGTGTGATGACACAGACGTCAGAGAGACAGGAATGGACAAGATTAGTGGCCCGTCCAGATGGCTTCCTGTTATAAATTTTACATGGACAAAATTAAAGACAAAATGACACATTTAAAAGGCGCGGAAAACACTGGAATGTCATTTCATAGAAGGAAATGGGGAGTAGGTGACACACACACCTTAATAACCTATGTGCGATTTGGAAAAACCAACTAGCCCCACTGCATGGCTTTGGACTGCTGCAGGAAAGCAGAGAGCCCACAGGAAACACAATGACCAGGGTTTCCCCCAACTCCCCCTCCCTTTGGCTCCCCCTGCTGTGAGACCCCTCCTCTGCCCCTCTTCTCTCGTGTTGCCCCCCGGCACGTGGCACATAGATGGAACAGAAACACTAAGATAAAATACACTGTCAAATGAAATTTACCCAATTAATAATATGCAACATGCAATTAAGGTAAGAGGCCTCAAGTCATAAAATTAAATTGACATGCAATCATATTGCGATAAGAAGATAATTTCGGAACGCGACTCCCCCTTTTGGCGTCATGGAGAAATTGCAAGTGCAAAACCTGAAGCTCTATTAACGACAGAGGTGTCACTGGTTTTTTTGCAATTTTTTTCCTTAAAAATTGATGCATGTCATCTTTCGTAAATTCGAAATACTACCACCGTTTCTGTGTAATTACTTACATAATCCCTATGTCTTGTGATTGTTTATATTAATCAGTCATTAATGGAAATAATCTAGGGCATTACAAGCTACACACCACCAATACCAGAGACATATTTTTGCCTGATATGTAATAATAATAATAATTATTATTTTTAAATGACTGTAATGAGTTGGCAAAAGGGCTACCATAAAGGGAGGGTCCCAAAATGATAGGATCCCTAAAAAAAATTGGAACATAAATGAATTACTCTGGGTTGGGGGCCAAATATGATATGCTTTCATAGGCTCCGAACCCCCATGACCCTGTACAGGAGAAGCAGGTATGGAAAATGGATGTATGGACAGTTTACCGGGTCTTTCTACTCTGTACGGCACCTTAACGAGGTCAAAGGGATGTCAGTTCAACCCAATAGTCTATTAAACAAACATACTGTTTATTTAGACTGTAATGACATGAACTTTACATTAATGTTTTGTGTTTCACATTGATTTTAAAGATATGTATTTAAAAAAATAACTTGACAATATATGTACTTTTATATAATGATCTCATGGCTTATGTCAAAGGACAGTTTTTTTGTCACTAATATCACTGTTTAATCACTTTGTCACTAACTTTATTTATTCTATAAAATTGATTCACCAGTTATCCTTTTCTTAGGTCTTACTTTTCATGATAAATTCATAAAGCTTCTTTTCAATTCATTTATTACCTGAAAGAAAGAAAACAGGCAGGGCCACAGATTAGTGTCTCAAACTAAAATGACTGATGAAAATCGTTCAAAACAAGAAACATTCCCTTAAAGAGTTAATGGTTAAGTTATCGTCACATTTTAGTGTCACATTTTCTCGAGTCCTTACTATTACTGCAATAACATTTGGATTACAGTTACATGCATATACTAGGTTGGATCTGATCACAGCAGAATACTGATAGGCTAAAACCCTATGGAAGGAAAACAAAACGGAAGCCTTGCTCGTGCGAGGCAGCTTGTACAGTTAAAATCTCAAGATAATCCTCTCAGAAAGAAGATTAAAGGACATAAAAATGTGTGATTAGCCACCTTAATACCCTTGCCTAGCGATTCAACACTGCTTGGGTCTCCAGTGGAGATTAGATTACCTGGGATTATCATTCGCCAGCTTTTTAAATGGAGAGCAGAAGTTGGAAAGTTTGTGCTTCAGAAGTTTAATGGGAGAGTGTATGTTTGTGAACCTTCATTATAAAAGCATCCTGGATACACCTCTGCTGTGAAAAACAGCCATTCTGGAACAGGGTCCAACGGGAAACATCAAGCAGCAAGACAAGTTTTCAACTGGACACGTTACGTAGGAGACAGAGCTGATATCAACCGAAACTTCAATCGAAAGAGCTAGGATCCTTGGACACGTGAGTCAGCTGATTAGCAGAGAAGCACAATGAGGTCCAATGTCTCTCAGGTGGAGTTCCAAGAGGACTTCTACATTCCCATTCCTTTGGACACCCACAACATCACGCTGCTCAGCCCTTTTTTGGTGCCACAGGATCACCTGGGTCACAAGGGGGTCTTCGTAAGCATGGCCGTCTTCATGTGCATCCTCTTCATTGTGGGCACGTCCATCAATGCCCTCACCATTGTATGCACGGTGAAGTTCAAGAAGTTGCAATCCCACCTCAACTACATCCTGGTCAACCTTGCTGTTTCAAACCTACTTGTGTCACTGACTGGGTCCTCCACAGCCCTCTGCACCTTCATATCACGGTACTTCATACTGGGACCCTTCATGTGCAAGGCTGAAGGTTTCTTATCTACTCTGGGAGGTAGGGATGTCATCTGCCATCCGTGGTGCTAGCTTGTCTGTTTTCTCTTCATACAACCAAAAAAAGAATGATGGGATATTTAAGATAGCAGAATTCTGTTTGGCAACAGACATGTCATGAAGGACAAATTTAGAGCAGAGCCAGAAGAAAAAAATACATAGAGAGATATTTTGATTACAGACACAAGGGATTACATCCCACACAAGGGATTTCTGTTATATGTAGGATGTATTTCAACTACATTAGTAAAGGTAATTCCATCTACTCAAGATGCAGAAGATGTAATGGGAGTCGTATAATAATAAAATTTAATTAGCGATGTTCAATTCATTCCCAAAGCTGATTGTGATTGTTCAATTTATTTGTACATGCAAGCTTTGGGCCTCCATTAAATTGTGCAATCAGGTATCAGTGTGCTGCGATGGGCTGGCCCCCCATCCTGGGTTGTTCCCCACCTCATGCCCGTAGCTTCCGGGATAGGCTCCAGGCCCCCTGGCTACCCAGAAGGATAAGTGGTTTGGAAAATGGATGGATGGATGGATGGTATCAGGCTGTAACATCCATTACATATAATCTGATTCAAAAGCTTAGCAATGCCTTCTCATACAGGAGCATGGCCTATGTCCTCTGTGCTGCAGGAATGGTGAGTCTGTGGTCTCTCTCAGTGGTGGCTGTCGAGAGATATCTGGTCATCTGCAAGCCAATGAGCTCCTTCACTTTCAAGAACACCCATGCTCTGATTGGCTGTGCAGTCCCCTGGATATTTGCATTAATCGCTTCTCTACCTCCGCTGTTCGGCTGGAGTAGGTAAGAAATCGCCATCTGCCTGCCTGCTGTTCCTTCCGTGGTCCCAGATCCTAATTTTCTGTCCCTGGACAGATACATCCCTGAAGGTCTGCAGTGCTCCTGTGGGCCTGACTGGTACACCGTGAACAACAAATACAACAACGAGTCTTACGTCATGTTCCTGTTTATCTTCTGCTTCGGTTTTCCCTTCAGTGTCATAGTCTTTTGCTACAGTCGGCTGCTCTTCGCCGTCAAAGCAGTGAGGATGAGTCATTTCCGTCACATGATGCAGACGCACAGAAATCTTCTCATGATACTGTTCCTCTATTCATTCAGTGCCTTCTCTCCATTCGTTTACAAAACAAATTAAGGTCCTCTCTGCTTGTACACCTGCATATTCACACAAGATAAGTACACTCTCAGAAAAAAGAGAACCAATTTGTACCTTTGCTGGTCACTGGGGCTGTACCCTCCAGGGTCAGCCAATTGTACCCTAACTGTAGGTAAATGTACCTTTTAGTCTAAATTAAAGTACAGAAATGAACTCTGAGGAACATGCCCAAGGTACAAACAACATTAATGTACCATCAATGGTACAAAAATGTTCCTCAGAGTCCATTTCTGTACCTTAAAGGTACAAATACCAACAGCTACGGGTAAAGTCTGAGAGTGTATGGAAGAAAACTGGGTCACTTTGGATCACAAACCTCAAATCTTTATCTCATAAACTCCTTAAAATGACTGATGATTTACCACACTTTCGATTATTAAATAAAGCGCTATGGTTTTACATACAGTATAGTAACGTTACTAGTATTAGTTATTAGTTTCCCTTAGAGCATCATGTCCACAGTGCCCTGGTGTAATAGATGTGGTTGCTGTTGTGTGCAGTCGATGCCCCAACGTGATACAGCCTCTCTGTCGTGCACGAGGTCGCCAAGGTTCAGGAGCAGTCGGCCTCCACCCAGCAGGCCGAGAGGGAGGTGACCAAGATGGTGGTGGTGATGGTGCTCGGGTTCCTGGTGTGCTGGCTTCCCTATGCCACCTTCGCCTTGTGGGTGGTGACCCACCGTGGTGAGATCTTTGACCTGCGGCTGGCCACAATCCCCTCCTGCCTGTCCAAAGCATCGACCATCTACAATCCCATCATCTACGTGCTGATGAACAAAATGGTGAGGCAGCACTGCGCAAATGATAAAAGACCAGCTTTTCAAATAGCAAGTGCTTTCATTTCTTTTTTTAACATCAGTGTCTTCGTATTTTGATTCCTCTGTATTATTATATAATTATTGTATTGTTTTGGGTTATACATTCAGTCGCATAAATATTAAGAGCAACGATCACCTTCTGAAGGTAAACCAGGCATCTGAAATCCTTTTAATCTAATTGGCTAAAACCAGACTGCCAACTCTCTCTTTCAGTTCTGCTCATGCATGATAAAGTTGGTTTTCTGTGGCAAGAATCCCTTTGGAGTTGAAGAGGAGAGCTCTGTATCACAAAGCACCCACGTCTCCTCTGTCTCCTCTAGTCAAGTGTCACCCTCGTGAACCCAGCTACACAAAGTCCTTCTTTGCTCTGTCTGCTGCCCCCCCCCCACACTTTCTTCATCTCAGAAAAACAACAGAAAAATCCTTAGCTGTAGACAGTGTCTCCACACTGCCCATTATCTTGACAGAAGCCAATGAATTGATCAGACATTATCAATTAACAGGGGCTAGTTCAGCTGACTCCTTCAGTAATCTATCTTAACGTCTCCCCTCAAAATCTACAGTTATCCCTATGATGCTCTTTTCTAATCTAGGTTGGCTGACCTTATATATCACCATCAACATTCATGCTAGAAAAGGACTGAATTATATCAGTGACCGATGGCACTTGTGTAACATCTCGTCAATGTTGTTTCCTGGGTGCATTTAAAGGGGAATTACATTCTTACATAACCTCTGGATACTTTGTAACACGCACTTAACACGAATATTGGTCTTTTTGGGAAAAAGCATTTCCCACTTCAGTTTTACCTGACTGGGGCTCTTATTGTGATGATTTTATAGAAAGATAACATATTATTTCTTGTATATAACGTAGAGAAAAAACAAGCCTAGCTCTTGATACTCAGTGTGTGTCATTGTCGTTTAATTTTGTTCACTGAAATGTACACTTCTGCATGAATTATATTGCGTGCACTGTGTCATACCTGTGGAAGAATGGAGTTATTTTAATAAAGTAACTGCAGCCATTTATTGCAATAAAGGCGATATCAGAAGCAACTGACAGAAACACGGGTTGAATGGTGCTTTTGTGGTTGTACTGGCGACGATGAAAGCAAACCAGTACTGCGAGCAATTGGATGCCAGCGAAAACAGACAGAAATGAGAGAAAGGACGAGATTTCTGCGGTAAAGGACACGCCTCGTACAATGAAACTCAATTCTCATGCATTTATAATGGCACCTTCTGTAGGAACCATTTAAATTTATGGGGAGAAACAAGAAAAAAAATGTAATTACAATACAGCTAATTTATAATGGATAGACTGCTGGATCGAGCATTAGGATTTTCAGTGTCGAATATGATATTAATATACAGAGAAATTCATATTTAGTGGAGACTGGATATTGTCTAAATCTCAGCAAAAGCACACCATAAAGGAGTCACTTAAACATTAATTCAAAACATTTAGAAAACGTTTAAGAATCCTCATTAAGTAATTAAATGAAATGTGGTTACAGAGTCTGACACATTGTGACAACCAGTCCAGTAGTATCCCTGTTTTTAATGTGATTTAAAAATGTTTTTTGGTATATACACTATATTAATATTTTTCAGGCTAGAGACACTTAACCTATGTGGACTGAAGACTGCAATGACCTGAAAACGTGCACAACTACTCGCATGATCAAGTAAATCACTTTGATGGGGAAACAAAAACGTGAGAAAAACAGCAGAACTATATATAATCTAGGAAAATGGTACCCAGGCCTGAGTTTTCCAGCATGGAAAAATGTTCTAATATTCCTAGGTGACAAAATTGATTTTTTTGTTGCTGTTACAATACACAAAATCTATAGGTATTCAGGTAGAATACATATAGAATACAGTACATTTTTAGAAATAAAATTAAAATAGAATTTTAAAAAAATTGAACACACAATTAAAACAGAAACATAGTAACTCTTACAATTAGTCGCTGCTCCAGATTTGCAAATTTAACATTCACAGTTTCAGTGCATCTTCGTCTTGGCAAGCAGCCTCTCTCACACGTTAGCCGTCTCTCGCAATCTCGCCTTTCTCGCAGTACATTTCTAACTTTTTTGCTGCCGTTAGTTTAGCATTTTTAATAATGAACCCAAGTTTTATTTGTGAATTTTCACATTTTCGTCGACCTTCCAGCCAGTACAGCTGTAGTCCCCTGAAAGCAGGAAGCTGTTGAAGTCTTGCCTGTAAACGTGAAAACCACCCACCCCTCATGACCACTTCTCACCTCCAAGAATAGGACAACATGCCCCAGACACCCTTGCAGAATATACTGGTGCCCAGTATGGCATAGCAAGTACAATATACCATGCAAATATAGCCACACCCTCACTTAATCTGAGGGACGTCCAGCTTGGACCATAATGCATTCATTTCCCATAATAGAAATTTAAAAGTTTTTTTTTTAAAGTTAAAACCAGGGGTGTTTCTAGCTATTGAAAAAAAATCATGGGCTAAGTCAAGTTGACCCTGAGCATGACGTTTTGTTTTGAAGGAAGATTGACATCGGGACTAAAATTCTCAGGACCAATCTTAAAATACTCTTAAAATACTCTTAAAATACTCTTAAAATACTCAGGGCTAATGACGCCACTGGTTATGACAGTCTGGGGTCACTTTTCACTGTTGTGACATTCTAGGACCAAGAGGGTACCTATTTTTGTGGCAGAATTTAGTCACTCACACTGTTCTCCATATTGGATGCTCTGTGACTAACTATCCCAGTCCCCGTCCCCCCCCCCACCTTCTAAAGATGTACATATTCACCCAGCTATTGCATCCACCCTGTGGGGGGTACAGCTGATCCCCATGAATGGATGCCTTTCTTTGGATGGAGGGGCCATCATCAGTGTCTCCTGCCAGACTGGAACCCAGACAGCAGAGTTCCCGCTAGGAGGAGGACAACCTGTAGGGTGAATATGCATGTTCGACATCACTGGATACATTTACTTGTATGTACTCACATACTGTAGAACCAGCAAACAGCGCAGTTAATACCACACAAAACACACACAAATAAACATAAGGCTAGTAATGCTAACACAATGATCATACATAATTATTATCTCAAGATCTCAATAATTCAAAATATTTACAAAATTGATTTTATACATAAATCTTCACCAAGCTGATCCTGGTCATCCTTCGCGATTGCTTACCTTGTCCCATCTAATTAGAAATCATAAATTACTTAATTACTAACACTACAGTAAACTTCATGCGTCCTCTCCTTCCCCCATGATGGAAATACTCACCCTGCCGCAGCCGCCTTGCTCCAGAACTGTAAGTCCACCGGAAGAGTCATACCTGATTATGATAATCAATATAAGTCTCTAAAACTGTACGCCTTTATGAAAGAAATTAAACCACAAACCGCGTAAAGCCGAACAAGAGGCAGCGTGTCGGGGGAAATGCGCTCTCGTTGGATTCACACGGTCAGTGCGGTTTAAGTTGTTTCGGGGCGCACATGGTCCGGCGGGGGCGCCCCATCAGCACCGGCCGCCGACGTGAGCCGGGTCCAAATCCAAGTTCTGCTAGTAGTGAACTCCTGACCAGCGGCGCCCAGTTCAAAGCTAGCGGAATTCCGGACGTGCACCCGGGGTAGCTGGGCCGATAGCTCCGTTCACCTTTCGGGGCTTCCACTAAATTAATATATTTATAGTTATTTTTTAATCAGTGTAAATCACAGCTACAAGCATGGCCCTGTCATTAACCGACCATCTCTCAGGAATTCCTTTTAAAATAGCCTATTTTTTTTATATACAGAACCGATTTCCATCATTAAAAAAAAAATAGAAAACATTTCAGCTTGACATTTAATCACGTAGGCCAACGTATTTCATAAGCTATAGACAGTTATACGCTGCATGTAATGTAATACTCACGAAAGGTTTTGTCTCTATGTAATTATTATACATTTTTAGAAACTCTACTACAAAGAGAAATCTCCCAGGACTACAAAGGACGTCTTGCCAAATTACAATTAAACCTCATGAAATAAACCAAATTTGAACTCATTTTGAAACAGAAGTATATCCTAATTACATATTTTCTTTTGTTGCGAAAACGCACAATAACAAATTAAATAAATTTTACCGGTAATATTTTATGAAGTGTGTATTTTTAAATAATAATAATGTATGCCTATCTACAGCTTCATTTCAAGTATTATTGCCGTCAATTCCTCTACCTTCAGACCTCTTCCAGCCGTTAAGAGGACACCAGGAAAGACAAGACATGGTACAGAGATTAAAACTAACAGTCAAAGGGGTTTTGGGATAAACTGTCCGTTACCTGAATTGAACCATAAATCCTGTAAGATTAAGGTGTTTCTGTGTGCAGGCATGTCAATACCAATCAGGATAACAGATGCCAGGGGCATCCAGCACCCCAATCGTCCAAATAAGCAGCTTTGGTCAAATGGAAAAGCTAAAAACTTAACCTAGATTGTCTTGGTAGTTTTATTTGCAGGCATGCATAGGGGAATCGCAGTAACCTAAAAAACTTCACAGAAATATGCTTGGAACTAAGAACTGGGATGTGAGAACAACTCTGTGCTCTTTTGTTTACTGGATTCTTGGTTTACCAGTTTGTCATGCATTTTAGCCAAATGTTAATCATACACTTGTAAATGTGGAGATGTTGTAAAGACAGGGCATTCACTCATTAAAGTCATCGCTGAGTTTTGAGCTTTGCTGGTAAACTGTGCTCTTCTTTATCTTCTCTGGTTTCGCAGGAGCCATATGGTGTGATGCCATGACCCTAAAATTTCAAAGATGATCCCTTGGCTGTCGCCCCAGTCCACTGACGTTCACCATCATCACTGACAGATAACCCAGAGTTCCCTGCCGACGTGAGCCGCGCAACCAAGCGAAGTAAGGTGACCGACATCTATGCCAAGTAAGGCCAGAAAATAGATGGATTAGCTTGTTTCACATCTCCTTCCACCTCTGACCGTATTAGGTCAATGGAAACGCTAATCCTCCGCATGTAACGTGAAGACAGGTATAAAAAGGAAATGTCAGACACTTCTGAGAAGGCGCGTCGTAGTCAGCCTTGGGTGAACGGCACTGACCAGCCGGGAGAACAAGCTAAGACATTGGCTTGTGTCCTCAGAGTACCAGGGGGCACAGTGGAATGGCAGAGGAATGGGGAAGTGTGGTGTTTGCGGCCCGGAGGCGGAACGAAGAGGAAACCACACGGGAGTCTATCTTTGTGTACACAAACAGCAACAACACCAGAGGTGAGAATGACTCTGCGACTCTCTCACCACGTCGCTGCTCTGTCAGTGAAAACTATGGTCCACTCTCGTTTTACATCCAGAAGCCTAAAATGTTTTTAGTGTTGCTTTTCTAGACAGATTTGCTGGTGTAGCGTTGTACAGCTCTGGAAAAAATTGAGACCACAGCATTTTCCGTTCCCCTCATTTCTCAATGTATGCGTATGCGCCTGTGTGGAATATGCATTTTTTGCAATCTCCAGCCTGGTTCTTCCTTTCTTCTCATTAATGAAGAGCTTCTTCCTTGCTTTACGGGTCTTCAGTCCTGCTTCTAGGAGCCTGTTATTAACTGTCCTAGCAGTGCACTTCACACCACTTAATGTCTCCCATGCTCTTTGAAGGTCACTTGAGGTCATCCTCCAATTTATGAGGCACTGCTGGATTAGTTAACGGTCATCTCTGGCATTAGAAAGTTGCTTCTGCCCTCTATCTGGCTGCTTTTTGGTCATTGCCAGTGTCTCCTGCTTCACCTTGTTCTTATGTTCTGCTGTCTTAGAAACCTTGAGCCTAAAAGCAGCCTGCCTCGCAGTGTAGCCTTCTGGCAGCAGAACCAGGATTAAACCAGGATTTATAAATTCAGATTTTTTAATATAGAGTGGTCTCTTTAACAGAGCTGTATAAAATCTTTGGTTTCATTGGTGAATGTAAGCAAGTGGTCCTGAAGCTCCCACTGGGTTTTCGCACATGTTCTCTGAATTGCTAATCGCTTAGCCTATTTCAGAAAAGTCACAGCAATATGACAGTTTAATAACATACAAATAACAGCTTCTGAAAGCTTTATAAAACAGTAGAAAATGATATGGTATTGTTTTGACCCAGGCTAAAATCTATACTCATATATGAGTAACTTTGTCACGTCTGGCTCGTACGATCCTCGTGTGTGCCACGCCCCCCTCATTACCTCGTGTTAATTCCTGATTGTGATCACCTGTTGCTTGTTCAGTTCAGCCTGTCTGGTGTATTTAGTCCGTGTGTAAGTCCGTATGCGTCAGAGTTGTCATTGAAGTTTCGTAATGTCTGTTGCCGTCTGCTCTGTCTCTCTGAATAAACCCCGTTTGTCCGTATCTAGAGCTCCGTTCGCCTGCTTCTCCACTCGCCCGCTCGCCCACGTGACAAACTTCATGTCACTTCATGTTTTTTTTAGATCTTTCATGCTGTTCCATGTTTCCACACAGGTCCCTTTGAAGGCCCGAACTACCACATTGCTCCCCGATGGGTCTACAACATCGCCACAGTTTGGATGTTTGTCGTGGTCGTATTATCGACCTTCACCAACGGCCTGGTGCTGGTGGCCACAGCCAAGTTTAAGAAGCTTCGTCACCCGCTCAATTGGATTCTGGTCAATCTGGCTTTGGCGGATATCGCCGAGACGCTAATTGCCAGCACCATCAGCGTGATCAACCAGATCTATGGCTACTTCATCCTGGGGCACCCCTTGTGCATCATTGAGGGCTACACAGTCGCTGCCTGCGGTAAGTAGCCCAGTGTACGAAGGATGCAGTGCACTATGCGCTGATACAGCGTATGGGAATTTCACTGTGTGCAAGACCAACAAACTACAAATAATCGAATTTGTGCTGTATTTATTCATTTGTCATTAGCAACTTTAATATCTTCCTCCAGCTGTTTTCTAGATTATATCCGGTTCTGCATGTGGTACAACATCAGTTTGCTCCACCATTTCTTCTAACAGGCATTGCAGGTCTGTGGTCACTAACTGTCATCTCCTGGGAGAGGTGGATAGTTGTCTGCAAGCCTTTTGGAAATGTCAAGTTTGATGAGAAATGGGCAACAGCCGGAATCGTCTTCACCTGGGTGTGGTCCCTCTTCTGGTGCGCACCACCCATCTTCGGCTGGAGCAGGTGGGGTGCTTTGGATTCTCCGTATTAAAATGGAAAATGAGACTGCAGAGAAGGATAAATTTAAAGATGAATAATGTTCTCACATCTTTCTGCTTTCTTCAGGTATTGGCCCCATGGCCTGAAGACTTCCTGCGGGCCTGACGTCTTCAGCGGCAATGAGGATCCAGGTGTTCGGTCCTACATGGTCACCCTCATGCTAACCTGCTGTATTTTGCCACTTAGCATCATCATCTTCTGCTACATCTGCGTCTGGATGGCCATCCGCGCGGTACGTGATGCAAACCTCCAGTCCTTTCTAACATAACCTCGCTGTAGCAGATCATCTCAAATTATTATCCACAAATGAGCCTCAATTTCTATAATCAGCACACTTATTCCACAAGATATTCATGACAGTTAAAAGGAACCTGAGTAAAGAAAATACCAGCAATATTTTCACATCTTATATGATGCCGATACAGAATATAATGTCTGCTTTGTCATCTTTCCAAGTCAGTGTCTGATGGCCATCATGAAGCAGCTCACATCAGGGTGGCATTTGCCCGATGGCTGAATCCCCTCTTGAACACTGACTGTCTTCCACCTTTCACAGGTTGCACAGCAGCAGAAAGACTCAGAATCCACACAAAAGGCAGAGAAGGAGGTCTCCAGGATGGTGGTCGTCATGATCATCGCGTATTGCGTGTGCTGGGGACCGTACACATTCTTCGTCTGCTTTGGCACGGCCTACCCCGGCTACGCCTTCCACCCTCTGGCCGCGGCGATGCCTGCGTACTTTGCCAAGAGCGCCACCATTTACAACCCCATTATCTACGTCTTCATGAACCGGCAGGTAAGCTATGACATCGGCCGTCCGGCCCCCTCAGAGTGCCCGTCTTTCTGTGTATCCACAAAGCCCCCTTCTCAGACCATTTCACAACATGGCTTGACCTCGGTATTTTCTTCCGCTAGTTCCGTGTCTGCATCTACCAGATGTTTGGCAAGAAAGTGGATGATGGCTCTGAGGTGTCCTCCACTTCCAGAACAGAGGTGTCATCAGTTGCTCCAGCGTAATCGCCCCGCCATATCGCTCACCACGGGATCCTGCCTGGACAGATCTGTTGACGAAGGAAGGAAACATGGAAAAGAACCAAAAAAGGAACTGCTTGTCTATACTGTATATCTTGTACTTTCCAACACCTTCCCCAAGATTTCCCAAGGAAAATTTCAGGCAGTCACAGCATGTGTGTGTAAAAGTAGTCTTCTCACATTTCTGCAGGGAAAACCCTTATTTTCCCACAGTCAGATTCCTTGTAGGTTCAGAAAGAAAGTGTGACCAACCATGATCAATTGGACTCTGTAGGGCTGTTATAACTGAACGCCAGCATTGTCAGATCATGGAGGCCTTTCAGAATGAATCTGGCAACAGTTTCTTTCCAGAAGCTGTAAAATAATGAAGAAATTCTCAGAACTAAGACAATAGGCATTAATTACCATTGGAAACGTGGTCTCACGGCCATGTGAAAAGATTTTATGAGCTTATTTATCATTTTCGCTCCAAGAATTATAATTACTGACATCATATTCTATAGGAATATTAGTTAGGTAGATTTGTCTTTGATTGATAACTTGCAATCAATAAAAACATTTAAAAAAAAAACATGTTAAATAGAAGAGAATTTATATGTATGTAACATTTTATGTTTTCTGATGAAATAAAAATGTGCAGCAAGTTTAAAATACAAAGGGTCTTGGTTTTGAAATACATATAACATTTAATTCACATACATATAGCATTTAATTCACATACATATAGCATTTAATTCACATATATATAACATTTAATTCACATACATATAGCATTTAATTCACATACATATAGCATTTAGTTCACAGGCCTGGAGTACAATTTGGGGGATGTTTTTTTTATTCACCTCCACTCTCCTCACGTAATCTTGTTTCTCTGAGTTTTCCTATAGTCCCCTGTCTTCCTGACCTGTCTACCCACCATAATGTTTGTGTATGTGATGTTTGTATACGTATGGTCAGGTTGATGGCAAGTTTTTTCGCTGGTACTTGTGACTAGTGACATGGTGTATTGCAACAGCAATAAAGGGTTTCATCAATCAATCAATCAATCAATATACATATAGCATTTACTTACTGTACAGCAGTTTTGCTTGTAGTTGTTTTAAAGAATTAGTTTACTACTTCCATCAAAGCTCCGTATCACATTTTCAGAAACCAAAACTGAAAAGCACAAGGCTTAGCACCACTAAGAATGGTGTCTCTGTCACAAATCAGAATACAGCTTCAATTTTGATCTAAAATTGGCTCTGTCCCAGCAATCGGAAGGTTGCCAGTTTGAATCCCATGATTCTACTCAATTCATTAGAACTAGTGTGGTGCCGAGGTACCACCCACTCCACAGTTGCACTTGGGCTCTCTTCGCTGAGGTGGCTTATTGTGTGGTGGGTGTGGCAATGCGCTGTATCAGCACACAATCCTGACCAGTCCCTTCTTCGCTGGTAAGATGAGCACATCAGTCTTTCACATGACCACTATTGGAATTATTGCCTTCCTCAGAATGACAGGAAGGTGGAAACAAGATCCTTCACCAGAGGAAGATTAAACTGATTTCTTTAACGTAGATTGAGACTGTGCATGCATGGCCCACTTGAATCCTACCATTTAATCAGAGCAATTCCCATTAAGTGCCATAGATTCCAGATTAGGTCTTAAGAGCATTAATACTTGCAGCAAAATGTCAGTGAAGTGTGGCCAGGCTAAATGACCAGGATATGCCTGGTAAATGGCACAGGGCTGAGACAGGTGATTAGACACAACATCAAACAACTGTGCTACTATGTCAGAGGAGTGGAAACAGGTTGTGTTTGCAGCTAGACATCAAAACTAAGGTATAACAAGGAAATATCCTTTCGTCTAACTGTCCAGCAATTAATTTTTCATCTTTTAATGTCTTTGCATATAACAGCTAAATGTAAGAGGAACTAAAAGGGTCATTCTCAGTGTAGGATACCTTTGGGACCTCGTAACTTCCAGAAAAGTATAATTTTTTTACTTTTAAGTTTAATTAAGTTTATGTCATTTAGACCTTAGACTACCCAGAAAACATAAGTGTCAGCCATTACCACTTTTTATTTCACAGATTAAGCAGATAATTTGTAACTCAACCACAAATGTCCACCCAAATGTAGAAAATTCATGTCCATCCTGTCAGGGAAAGGAGCACAACAGGATGGAAAATGACAAGGTGGACATTTTTAGCTAATGTGAGCATCTGATGAAAATATGATTGACTTATGATTAGCAAAGTTACCAAGTGTTCACGGTGAGACTGCTGTGTTTCAAAAACACATTTTAATATTCTAAAATCATATAAGTTAATTGGGTGTTTCATCAGTACAGGGTGGGATCAACACTTGACCACAGCAAACTAGAGACAAGATATAAAGAAAATCAGGACGGGGGTCACATAATTACATTGGTTTGGGTTGTGGGCTCAATATAATGTTTCAAGGGGTTCAAAATCTCTAGCCGTGTCCCTGCCTGAGTATACAGGAGTTGTACTCACTCCATTGAGTGAAAGTCAATATAAAGTCTGTGATATGATTGAAGTCAAAGGTCAGTGTCTTAAAGGTCAAGTTACCCCAATATGACATGGTGCACACTCAAAACTTTAATATAATAATGAAAGATTCAGCTTGAATTATGTAGTATCTTGTTTAAAACTTAAAGAAAATGTGAAGTTCTTTTTTACATTTATGTTACTTAATCACCTAAACTACATATTGAGACGTGTGAAAATCCTCTACATCTCATCAAACAAAATGCATAATATAGGATGACCATATAAACCATGTCAGGAGGGACACTTCAAGCTTTAAACTACTTTAAAACATGAAAGGCTCCTGCGCTTGGCTAAACAGTTCTGTTCATCTTGTGCTTTTATTGGTTTGTTTCCTTGATTGAAAGCTTTGTCCAGCTGTTTCACATTAACATTAGTGACATATGCATGATTATAGAAGACTGACCAATCAGCACACAGCAAGAACTCAGTGCAATTTACAAATCCTGTCCTAGCTGAAAGTGTCCTATCTGACATGGATTATGTGGTTACCCTATTTTAACAAAATGTCATTTCACTAATATGCATAATTGTATACTCCTTCAGAATAATAAAAACCAGTGTTTTTTTTAACATTTGCACGAAGTTTGAATAACTATACAAAGGCACCATAATGTGAGTGACCCATAATCTAAATTCGATGTAAGTACTCATGTTTAATATTCATTCAAATTTCATATTCCCATCCAACTTCAAGTACATTAGAATGTTAAGTCTAGTATGAACTCAGTTCAAAACTTTAAATGCGGTGAGAAGGAAAACGAAAATTACAAAACGTCGCAGATCTTTAACACCTCTAAAAATGCCGGCTTTTCAGTTTTTTTATAACCAGCACGCAGGCGGTTTGGTTTGCGACACTAAGTGTTTTACGACAGTACTTGTTCTCAGTATGCACTACGGTTTACGGCGCAAACCCACGCCGCACTCCGGAGCAGGCATGTCTAAAGCCAGTACGTATGTTTTATTTTGGTTTTTTTTTTTACCGTGTTTAAAAGACTGCTAAAAAATAAAAATAAAAAAAGACAGCAGTTGGTTATCTTCATGTGAATTATGTGCTTGGTATTACAGAGCAAAAAAGAGCGAAACGCCTTGGCTTTCGTGGTAAAAAGAAGGTAAGAGATTGTGAGTCGTCTATGTTTAGAGAGCCGGTATGATTCGTTTGACAGTTACTTCTAATTTTTTATTTTACGACTCTTGTAAAAGTTTGGTCTGTTTCATTGTCACAGTAAAGGCTTACTGCTGTTCTCATGAAATCAAAATATGGTGAAAGTTTACAGCGATTTCACCCTTAATGCCAAGAGTATTAGGCGTCGAGTTATTTTTACAGTAGATTTGATTCCCATTTAAAGTCAGTGCTGGATTTTTCCCTCCAGAGTCAAGATGGTCAACAGGCAAAGTTTCAGAGTGGAAAGAAAGATTCGGGTATGCCCAGCGTGCAGCATATCAAGGCATATGCTCAGAGAGGAGCGGAGCTTCGGAAAAAGAGGGTGAGTGGCGGATATGTCCTCACCTACTGTCAGCAGATCCTATGAAAATAAACCGGTAAACTCATGGATGTCGGTTTCACCCCAACCAGGTGGGGTTGGAGCGTTCAGTCACTGTGATTATAACGTAATTTTAAGGTGCTTTTAAGGTGTTGTGTGTGTGCATAAGTATTTTGCTATGTCCCTGTCAGCTCGAGGAATTGCAGCAGAAGCAGAAAGCATCACGGGAAAGGGAGATGATGAAGCGTCGGAGTCTGGACACCTTCCAGAGGGATGTGCAGAGGCGGCAACGGGAGTTTGAGCAGAAGGTGGCGTAGTGGTTCAGGGTGGGGTTACCGCTGTTGTACTCTTGAGTGAGGTACTTAATCTGAATCATTACAACTGTACAACTGGGGTAAAATAAATAAGCTGAGCAATTAGTATAATTACTATTTCTATATATTTTATGCCACATGAAGAACATGGTTTTACCTGGAACGAGAGATTGTACTGATGTCGACTGATCCATATATAGATTCTTATACAGTCACATGACACTATCAGCCAATGAGAGTATTTTTAATGTGTTTGCTTATCTTTCATTCCAGGAAATGGAGATGAAGAATTTAGAAAAACATGTCAGTTTTGAGACCGAGAACTCGAGGAAGGCCTATTACAGAGAGTTTAAAAAGGTATGTGTGCTGTTGTGGCAACTTCTGGGTTTGTTTAACCTGTGACTTGCTTCCGCCCTTCGCTCAGAGCTACTTGTTTGCATCTCGGCATGCCCCGTTGATGCCCCGCCCCTTCAGTGATGTTCTCGCCCCTAATCAGGTGATCGAAGCAGCCGACGTGGTTCTGGAGGTGCTTGATGCCCGCGATCCCCTGGGCTGCCGGTGTCCTCAGGTGGAACAGGCCGTGGTTCAGAGCGGAACCAATAAGAAGATTGTTCTGGTGCTCAACAAAATAGGTGACCTCTGGAGCTGGTTTTGCTTAACGTACAGACGTTTTTATGAAATGGTACCTGCAAGGTTGTACGTCTGATTATAATCGGAAATGTTTCTGAAATGAATAATATTATTATATTATTATTTTAATGCTTTGGAAGACATTTACAAAACTTGTGCCCCCCCCCCCTCAACATTCCCAGACCTGGTGTCCAAGGACATTGTGGAGAAGTGGATCAGGTACCTCCGTAATGAGTTTCCTACGGTGGCCTTCAAATCCAGCACCCAGCAGCAGAGCAGAAACCTGGTGAGTGCTGATGGGGGGCTTTGAGGTGCTCCCCACAGAAGCACAGCCGCGTGCCCGTCTCTGCCGTACTGAAGGGGGGCTTTGGGGTGTTCCCCACAGAAGCGCAGCCGCGTGCCTGTCACCCAGGCCACCTCGGAGCTCCTGAGCACCAGCGCCTGCCTGGGAGCTGACTGCCTGATGAAGCTGCTGGGGAATTACTGTAGAAACCAGGACGTGCAGACGGCCATCACTGTGGGCGTGGTCGGTGAGTGTGGGCAGGAAGTGCACTTACGCAGGTCTGCTTCAGCGACTGAGCAAATTCTGTGTAAGTGAAGGCTTAATAACACCACCACCCCCCCCCCCCCCCCCCCACCGGCCAGGCTTTCCTAACGTGGGGAAAAGCAGCTTGATCAACAGCCTGAAGCGAGCGCGTGCCTGCAGCGTGGGGGCTACTCCTGGAGTCACAAAGTGAGTCTGCTCTCTGATTGGCTCTTATTGTAGCCCCACTCCCCCTTCCCCCAGCGTATCGGGATAGTCTGATGTCTGATGTCACCTGTCTTGCAGGTGTCTGCAAGAGGTTCACCTGGACAAACACATCAAGCTGCTGGATTGTCCGGGGATCGTCATGGCGACCTCGACCAGCGATGCCGCCATGATCCTGCGGAACTGTGTGAAAATCGAGCAGCTGGTGGACCCCGTGACGCCGGTGGAGGCCATCCTGAGGCGCTGCAACAAGGCTCAGGTCAGGTCAAGGCTCAGGACCACTTGTGTCAAGAAATGTGTTAATGCGTTATTGCGTGTTCCCAGCTGAAAAAGGTGTAATTGAAAGGTGCACGGCGAATATGTATACCGAAATAGGGACATTGTCTATAATTTAAATGTCGACCTGAAACGCTCTTCAGCAAAATCTGTTTAAAAATGCGATACATATCCAGTCAGCAAACATATATTGATTTGATATTGCTTTGAGCGGTCACTGCCGATCCCCACTCCTACTCTCCTGTCTCCCTATCCCGGCTCCTCTCTTCCTTTCCCCCTCATCCCTTGCTCATCTTCCTCCTCATCTTCTCACGTTCTACTCCCTCTTGCATCCAGATCATGCAGCACTACGGCGTTTCTGACTTCCGCACGCCTCTGGAGTTCCTGGCCATGTTGGCACGGCGACAGGGCAAATTGAAGAAGGGGGGGCTCCCTGACCACGACAAGGCTGCCAAGAGCGTCCTGCTGGACTGGACAGGGTGGGGGCGGAGGCCGGGCCTCGGATTGGGGATGTATGTGTCCCGTTTGCCCCTTTAAATAACGGCCCCCTCTCCCCCTCACCCAGGGGCAGGATCAGCTACTTCACACATCCGCCGGAGACGCACACCATGTCCACGCACGTGAGCGCCGAGATCGTGGCAGAGATGGGCAAGGCCTTCGACTGGGAGGAGCTGGAGAAGGGTAACCTGGAAGTGCTGGCAGGTAGGTCATGGGCGCCATGGTAACACGCTCACCGCTACACTCCTCAACTGCCGCTATGACTTGTTTAGTACCGTCGATTTCTCCCATGCTGCATTTTAACTTGTTTGCCTCATTTTCGAATCCCCCCCCCCAGGGGTGAGCGCTCCGGAATCGCAGTCCGGCTTCTGCATCACGACGTGTGGGATGACACAGGGCGCTCAAGTGGAGTCCCTCACCGATCTGGAGATGGAGGCGGGAGATCCCGGGGCGGCCGGGTCCGACGAGGAGGCGGAGTCCATGGAGGATGACAGGGATGCTGAGGTAACGTCAGGGAATGCTGAGGGCGTGCAGAGGTGATGCACTGAATGTCACCTGTACGTTATGGCGTGAGTCTGTGTTCACCCTGCATCTCCTCCCTTGGTGCCCCAGTTTGGACCCATGACAGTAGAGATCAAACCATCTCGGGCAAAAGGTGGGGATGTGGTGGAGACGGAGGTCCCGCGAGCTCCGGATCTCCTGGACATCCTGGACGTGGACCCCCTCCAGCAGGGCCAGGCGCTGCTTGCTGCCAGAAAGAAGAGGAAGAAACGACAGAAGAGAGCCAGTAGGTCCATCCATCCATCCATCCATCCATCCATCCCCGAACAGCCCTGAAACACTATGCATTAGAGATCAGGGCCAGTATGCATAGAACTTCTCAGACTAATTTCACTCTTAAACGCGTCACAATTCTAAGAGTGACGTGATTTTGCTCCCACTCCCAGACTTAAGAATAAGTGGCATGAACATTCTTAAGTGTTAAGACTTGGTCTCAGCTCCTAAATTATTTGAGAGCTGGAGAGGACTGCTAAAGCAGTTAGGAGTTGCACGATGGCAGCAGCACTACGCGCACGAAGACGGAGACCGTGCACTTTCCGAGAAAGAAAGTGCGTACTGCAGACGTACGACAATAATGAATTGATAAAAAGGTACAGGCTGGATCATGACGGCTTTCTTTTTGTTACCGACCTAATTAGGAACCGGATACAATCTCCTACGTCACCTAAAAATGCACTTACAGTTGAACTGAATTATTATTATTATTATCATCTATTATAGCGAGGGTCATAAGAGCAATACAAGTAATGACACAAACCTGTAGCTTGCATGCTTGCTTTATAAACTGTGATTTCCTTTCGCGAGGTCGATAAAACATTATACCACCTTTTTTCACATTCCTCTGCTGAACGCCTTGTCCGAGGTGAGGCAGCATCTACGGAGTTTGCAATAGCCTCCTAAGCTTTTCTTGTCCGTGCTTGTAACAGCTGGGCCAAACTTTCCTCGCACTACCTCCTTCCATTTAAGCACCAACTGTGCCAAAAGAACCGTTTTGTTTGTCGTCCAGTTTGGTTGTCTTTTAGAATCCAATGTTTTGCGTTTAACCCATAATTTATGCAACATGTGCATCTATTAGTGGAAATTGATCGGTGATGTGCTAGGTAGATTTTTGTACAACCAATTAAAGGTATGATCACAGAAAGGTATGTTGTATGAAGCTCTACATTAACGGTTTAATGTCACTCACATATTCACCGTGCAGCTCCTCTATTGGTTGAACTCAGTATTTGGGGCGGGATTTTATTTGTAGTCCTCATTTCACGACACTTCACGACTGGCTCCCTCAGCACTTAGGAATTGGGCTTAGACTTTGCTGAAAGTTACTTTTAGCAGCTTTATACAATGCTCTTAGGTACTACTTTTTGCTAAGTCCAAGTGTACAACCATTCTTAAGACCATTCTTAGGAAGTTTTATGCATACCGGCCCTGATTCCGTTGCAATTCTTATAAAACATCTTTAGAGGTGTTTTACAGTACTGTGCAAAAAACTTAGGCAGTCAAACAAAGTGTGTTTATCTAGGAAGTAAGTGTATATTTGCCCAGAAAAAAAACACAATTTAGCTTTACAATATACAGTATGCAAATTAACAGCAACACAATAAAAAGTGACAAGAATTTCTTCTGTTCTCCAAAAAGTTACTGATGTTGGATGGCTAGAGAGCCTCTCCTTCCATGAGTTTCCTTAAGGTTTCTTTGAGGGTTTGAAATTGCTGAGCTGACCCACTTTGACAGACATAACATTATACTTTTACACCAGTGTGAAGATCATTTAAACATAATTTTCTTTGACTGCCTAAGACTTTTGCACCATACTGTGTATCTGTATCTGAATGAAATTCAAAATATATTTAAACTCACACCCTAAACATGCAGTACTTTGGTGATTTTCTGTAAATTGTATCACTAATTACTAAATAATGCCATTTTAAAGCTGCCTAACTTCTGAAGCCTCCTTGAAATGCTTCTTACAAGTTATCGACTCCACTTGCAATAAGTTAAACGAAACACAAACAGGAAATATCCTTTCTCTCCCTGCAGACAAAATCGCAGTGAAGCTGTCGGACTCCCTGACGTCCGCCATGAACTTCACGTTCTCGGACAGCTGACGGCCCCCCGAGCCTCTTTGCTAAATGCTTCCTTGCACAGACTCACTGATGCTAATAAACATTTCACTGCTAAGATGCTGAGATTGTTATTTGAGGGGGGGGGGCTGCATGTCTCCTGATGAAATAAGATGATATGGTGAGTGTGTCTGGTCCCTCCCCTCTTCTGCCTGGTGGGGGGGCTGGAATCGACGCTTTGGAGACCTTCGCTGAAACGGCCACCCGTCTGATAATGGTTTCAAGACGTTAGTGCCAAACCTCAGAGCTCTCCCGACTCTTCCCTCAGGGGCCCAAACTTTTGTCATGATGGATTATCAGGGGGGGAGGGGGGGGCTACTGCTTAAAAGAACAGCCTCAACTACTGACAAGTACTGAGTCAACTTTGTTCATCCAGTTAATGACGTGTAAGTGAGGGACAGAGAAAGGTGTTAGACTTGGTTCTGAATGCTTTATGAATGTGTGCTGCATTTACTAAATGAAAATGGGGAATCATTAGCAGGGAATATGTCTGTATCTACATTACCATGCAGTCTGTTTTTCTCACACCACAGATTTGAACCACTTTCCCATTTATTTCATAAACTGCAGATTTTTTATTAAGCATTGGAAAGTTGAGTGAACAACTCTAAATGAAAATATATAAGTCAAAACAAATTTCTTTCATAATATGGAAAGAGTATGTTAGTGCATGTCTGACGTCCTATTAACTGGTTGTGTGGTTTAATGTCCCTTGAAAGAATGCCTCAGAAAGAAGTTATCTGACAATCCAATTCACCTTTGTATTTTCTGTTACATAAACACTTGTATATTTGGTGCGTATTGTGAAAATGAGACACCTGGCAAATTGAGACAGTTAAACTGTATGGACAGTTATGTTTAGTAATACTTTATTTTCTCTTCTATATAGTGTTTAAGGGGCATTAATGTATTTGGAATAGTATCAGAAAGTGATTAGGATTTTCAGAAAGTGTTCCATTTTAACAACGCCAACCTTAATGATATATTTCTGTCCGTGTATCCCGTTGTTTTTATAAACGGCGTGTGGGCGCGTTTAACTTGCATTGAAGATACCGAAGCCATAGTGACACATTGACGGGGAGCGGGGGGGGGCTCAGCCGGAGATGGTGTAGAGATCGGCGCGTTTGGTGTCACCAGTAAAATGGATAGTCTCCCCCAGCTCCGGGCTTTCGGGGTCTGACGCTGCACGTGCGACACATTAAGGTGAGCTGCACTTTCATTTTAAATCCAAATTGCATTAGATTGCATGAAATCTGTGTTTAAAGTACAATTACAGTTAATGATGTGTATCTGGACATATGTAAATATGCGTGATGAAATATAGAATATCCGACAATTTACACGCTCTAGACGTGCAGAGGCACCACTTGATGCTGTTATTATTATTATTGTTGTTGTTGTTGTTGTTGTTGTTGTGTTTGTTGTTGTTGGTGGTGGTGGTGTTGTTTTGTTGTTCATGCGTGATTTTAATATACATTAGAAAAGGCATGAAGGAATTCTTCTGGGATTAGCAAATGACAAAATATCAAAGCTGAAAATGTGTTTACTAAGTTTTCTGCTTCACACTATAGTAAATTTATTACTGCAAATATTGCAAAGGGGTTAGAAACTAAAAGTTTCTAAAAACACTATAGCTGTTATACGTGGGCATTATCGTTACAATTATAAATAAATTCGGTCGAGTTTATGTTGCCTGAGAATGATTAAGCATAACATATTCTAAAAACCTGCCTCGCCATAGCCTGGTATTACAGCTGTTTGTGTATCCTAATGTCACATCAATGATATATTGCATTTGGACTCAAAATTAAATGTTAACAGACGCATTTGTATGCGATTTAATTAATTTGATACATTAGACGCTTGAGTGCGTTATTGTATCGCATATCCATACGAAAACCAAACGGACACTTAAGTAATATTTACATTTCAGCTGACGCAACCAAGTTACCGCAGCCCGGGCAATGATAATATAAATGAATAATTCTTCGTTTTCCCTAATTACAAGTAACACAAAACAAATACATATAAAGCAAATTAATGAATTAGAATCCACTTTTTACTGTTACAGTTCTACCAAAATTTGAGTTTCGAAAGTTTAATATAAAAAAAGACAAGATTAAATGTATCTACCACGTTTCTGGTGGTTTGGTTCAGCCCCAGCTCTGTGAGTGTGGAGCTTGCATGTTCTCCCCATGTTTGTACGAATTTGGTTCAGCCCCAGCTCTGTGATTGCGATGTTTACATGATCTCCCGTGTTTATGCTTTAATTGATTCCAGAAGGATTTTTGTTCTCTCTCCTGATCTGTTTTCAGTCACAGAGTAGAATCAGGTTCTCCGCTTAGTAAAGGAAGCATGGATGTGGTCTGTGATGGCAACGCTGCTGCCATTGGTCTATGTGGGCTCAAGAAACTGGGAGGCACAGATGGCCATGTGACAGCACTACTACCTAATGGATCTGTGAATCACATTACAGGTGAACCTGCCTCAGCTGTTAGACATTAAGAATTAAATCTGTCCAGGGAGACCTGCCCTATAAAATACCTTATTTTCAGGAGCCTGGATCTGACCATTGTTATATGCACTGTGCTATTATTCAACCCCACTGCCCTGATGTCTCTCAGCCCTGTAATTTTATTTGGGTCTGAGCTGGGAATTAAATATGCTTCTATATGTACAAGTCAAAGTTGTATAGGCTGTTCACCATGCTCTACTGTGACTGCTTTTTCAGAAGACCAGACCAATGAGTCAAGTATAAGCTGTGATGTAACCACTAGGATCAATTTGACTGAGGATGTCTCAGCCAATGAGAGCTCCTACCTGCTCCTTCATCCAGATGAGGAGTCCACCCTCGCAGAGGAAACAGGTGAATGCATTCCTGCATTATTATGCTAGGTACATCCTTGTAACAGCCTCATTGTAAGCACCCTCACCCTCTGAATCACCTCATTTTGATTCAAGATTTGTTACCATCATAGTAACTCAATACCTGGTTCTGTTGGCAGCAGTAAGATGTGATATATATTTTCTGATGACAGGGGAATAAAGGGGAATTAAAAAATTAAAATAAAAAAAAGCATTGGAACAATGTACTTAGGGGGCACCAGGATTTGAACCTGGGACCTCTTGATCTGCAGTCAAATGCTCTACCACTGAGCTATACCCCCTCTACTTATAGAGATTATCAAGAGTTAGTATCCTAATATGAAACCATTGTGAATTTCTCCTCAGCATTTCCACACCCTGAGGTTTCTGCTGACGGTGCTCCTACATCCCAGCTCCCGAATGGCCTGCCAGTCTGCACCCCACCGTCTGCGGTCCGACCCCTTACGCCCCCATTGCAGTTTTCCGCACACAAGCCAGACACGAGACAGCATCACCCAGCCTCTGCAGCAAACAGCCCCAACTCCCTTAAAAGCTCATCAAGAGCAGTGGCAAACGGTAAGAGCTCACGCCAGCCGCGAGTCCGTCCCTGCCCGCCCCGGGGTAGCCCGCGGGGACTTCCATTCAGGGCCAGCCGCCGATGTTCAGACACTCCACCGTGAATCCCGTAATCCGAGCACAACCGCCTCCATTTCAGGGAAGTTTCATATAGAAACCATAATTCCCACAAGGCTTGTCGGATCAGTGTAGGAAACAGCCTTTCAGACTAATTTATTCAAACTTGGTGGCAATCCAACAGGGTTAGTTACATATCTGATAAAATGCAAACTTTTGAGGCTTATATTTCACTTTTATAGATTTAAAAAAAAAATTAACCATAGACCTTTTTTGGAAATGAGGCTTCTGCATATGTGCAGGCTTGATACAGCTGAACTGTGACCATCTCTGGGAGCATTTAGCCTTATCTACTAACCACCTTGGCTCTCTCCATCACACACAGCGTTTATCTGCCCAGACACTGCACAACGTCTAGATCAGTCGTCAACGGGCAACCATCCTTTTGCTGGTTAGCCTCATTAAATTATTTTAATTATTCAGCACATTTTGATTGGCCCAAGATTTTTTTGGGGCGATTTTGCCAAGTGAGCTTCATAGACACAGGAAATTACACATATAAAGAGAACCATTGCTGTGGCACAGCAACAGTATTTTCTTAAAACTGGATCTGAAGTACAAAATCTACTGATGCCAGTTTTTAGTCATTAATGTTTTTCGGAGAGAGAGAGCAGGCAAGAGAAAGAATGTATCAGTTTTTAAAGTATATATTAAATCTACTTCCCTAGTTTTCTGACAAGTATAGATAAATAGCTGACTAATTAATTATTTGCCTTAATTAGATCATCTTTTTAAATGCAGATCTATAACTCCTTGCTTTTTAAATAACTGCTGTCTTCTCTACTGGCGTCCATATTTAACATCATCATCTTTATTTGCTATTTTCACACTCAGCCCTCTAACACTGCCCCCTATCTGTTTTCACATCCTCCGCTCCTCCCTTTCCCCTCTCAGACCTCTGTGCCTCCGTCGCTCTTGCTTGCCTTTTCTGTCAGCTGTGTGACTGCTTGCTGGTGACTGTGGACGGCTGTGCCCTGTGCTCCTCCTTGCTCTGCCCCTCCCTCTGCTACAGCGACCCCAGACCTGGCTGCACCTGCCAAAGGGGCTGCCCCTGCAGGGGGCTGCCGGTTGACTTCTCCAGCCTGGATAGCTGCTTCCGCCCAATAGACTGCCTGGAGCTGGCCTTGGAGATCTCTCAGCTGATCTTCCACTGAGCTTTTGGGGTTTTCGTGTATCTGACCAGTTGCTAGTTAATTTGTACTCCCTGTCACACACACAAACACATATAGTGTCAATGCAAAATAATGACATGTGGATTCCCAGCAGCATTCTGGCCCATTGGATCTTCCTCAGATGTAAGGGTTAAAGTGTAAGACCACAAGGGGGGGTCCTGTTTCAGTCAGGGAGCAAGATAGCTGGGTGTTTAGCGGCACAGGAGCTGATGGGGAGCTTTGAAATCCACCACATTAAGAGCTTCTGATCAAGATGCCCATAACTGTTCTGAGGTGGACCTCAGCAGTCGTGGTGCTCAGGAGCCCATATCCAGTTGGGTTTCATAATTCTCTGATTCCCTGAAAGACTTGAGACAGCTGCTGGACCTGCCAGATCTATACCCAGATATATTTTGAATCTTAAACACACTGGTTGTGTTTAAAATCCAGATTTCACCTCGAGGTCACTATTGTAGACAGGTGTGTCCAATAACAGCTTGACAATGGATCTAAAATGAGCCAATCAGAGCCAAATTTATGACACAGGACCCAATAACAGCTTCATGATGGATCTAAATTCGGCCAATCAGAGCCATATTTCTGACCCAGAACACCTCCCAGGTGGTCACATCCCTCTGCTGCTTTGTATCTCCCTGCTCGGGCCTCTTCCGCCTGCACACCCATTTGTACAAAGAAACCTTGTGGCCTTCATGAACTGTGCTTTTGGCGTTGCTGTTTTCCTTTTCCCTGTAGCTTGGGAGCGCTACTTACACAAAAATGTTCTGAGGGCAGAAGGAAAAATGATTGGTTCAGAGAGATAACCAATCACATTATAGAGCAGGTGGGTCCAAGCAACTAGAGGAGGCGGAACCAAGACATCTGACTGGTTGGTCTGGCCTCCTCTAGTTGCTTGGACCCACCTCTGCTACAATCTGATTGGTTATTTCTCTGAACCAATCATGTTTCATTCTGCCCTCAGAACATTTTTGCGTAAGTAAAACTCCCATGAGCAACCCAGAATCGGTGGTGTTTGGAGACTGAGGCTGTTTGGCACGCTAGTGGTGTTTCCTGAAATCTCTCCCCCCTCCTCCCCCCAGAACGCTGTGCTCAATGCATTCTATCCTGCCTGTTCTGCGAGGTCCTGACAGCATGCTCCTTGCTGGTGCAGTGCCTGGACTGCGGCCAGGCCTGCGAGCCCCTGCTCCAGTGCTGCTGCACCTGTGAGAGCGCAGAATGCGGCTTGTGTGGGGCCGACACCTGCCTGGACTATAGGCAGTGCTTGGAGTCGCCCAGCGGCCTGGAGATGTGCATGGAGTGCTGCTCCATCTGCTTCAGTGCATAGACCCACCAGTGCTGAGCTGGGGCCCTGGCACGGGGAGATGAGGAGCCAGATCTGAAACCTCACCTAAGGGTTTCAGGCCGAGGAAACAGAGCACAGAGACGTCCTTGGGAAGAAGGGTGAACGTAATGGCGTGTGATGTAACAACAGAACACATTTGCCCAGTTTGACTCCAGCCCAAAGCCACCTAGATCCGAGGAGATGCTTAACTGTGACTGACTGAAACACACAAGATTTCAGTCATACACTCACATCGTCAAAACTGCTGTACAGGAATTGTGCTCAGTTGCAACTAAGCATATACTTGTTAGGATGCATTTTATTTGCATTTAATTTAAACTGGTGCATAAATAATGCATGCATATCTGTGTAGTTTTGAATCTCGACGGCTGTACTCAGCTAAAGAACCATTTAGCCATATAATTATTAATTAAAATACTAAAGGGACACTGGGAGTGTTCCGGCACCTTTCTAATTTCATCGCATATGCGCTGAAAAACGAATTAAGCGTTTTGTGAAGTGAGTGAAGACGCACGTTTAAATATAAATTATAAACAAAATATTGTCTCACCCATTCAGGTGTGTTTTTTTTCTGTGTGGTAACAGGCAAAAAAATCATGTCAAGCAATTGTTTATTTTTCCGCTCTATTTACAGAATAACTTTTTTAAATCGTTTTATAAGGCTAAATCTAGACCATCTTGATTTTTTGCCCTTCTTGTTCGCGGTAGGAATGAATTAATTTATGGCGAATAACAATGCAGTAAGGAGTGAGCAAGATCAGTTAGGCCTATTGTAAAACACGCCGCAGTCTAAAAGGTGACCCGCGAATGAAGGTAACGGGGAGAGGATGTGGACCTTGATGGGTCCCAATTACCGACCTACTCACCCACCGCACCGAAGCGGGGGGAATCAAGGTGTAAACAACATGGTTTCCGCACTACATGCTAGGCCTTAGAGGCCTAAATATATCCATAAATATGATCCGGCTCCGTTCTGAGACTGACTGCCGCACCCGTGGAGCACCGAGCAAAGTCACGCAAAGAAACGTGTGAATTCTGTTAAGCTTTACCCATCACTGAGCTATACTACAAAGCGACGGCTTCAGACCATTAAGAATTAATTAATGAGTTTATGTGGTAACACATTGCATGTTTAAAAGAGTTGATGGTCAATCATCTCTGCTGGGTGCTGATTGAACGTGTCTTGGGGGCTTATCCTGAGTGTCAGGTGAAAATGCAAACAAAATTTCGAGTCCTTTGCAGATATTTTCGGCTTCTTTCATAAAGATGTATTTATATTGTCATTTTTGTATATTAATAAGTACAAACAATGGCTACAAGGACGATATTGTGGTGTGTACGTATCTTCTAAACATGACATTTTCCTTGCAACAAAACGATCCTTCGAATTTATCTCGGTGTCCAGATTATAGGGTGAAGTGCACCCCCTAGTGGACCACCACTGGAAGTCCTACATGGTCCACCCTTAAATGACTCATACAACAGATCACAGATCACAATCGTTGGCTGTCAGCTCCTCCTGCCTGGTGATCCGTACTCATCAGAGGAACAGGGCTAAGAAAATAATGTCCCACCTCTCGCCCCCAGGTCACTTCGAGCGTCTCCCTTCTTAGATAAAGCTTAGAGTTAGAGCTTTGAGCAGAAGGACTAGCTGCCACTGGAACAGCTTCTCCTCCCAGGCCACTGCCCTGCTAAATAAGGGCCAATCGGACGCATGCTGGCACTTATGGAAGAATTTCATGTGTCACTCCCCATATGACTAAATAAGCTCATTTTCACATACCGCAAAGCTGTCTGTACCCTACAGGGACAGACAACTCTAAAGACTGTCTGTACCCTACAGGGACAGACAACCCTAAAGGCTGTCTGTACCCTACAGGGACAGACAACCCTAAAGACTGTCTGTACCCTACAAGGACAGACAACCCTAAAGGCTGTCTCACCTATGTCTCTACTTGTTTTGTTATTTGCACATCTTAATTTTTGTTGCTACCTCTATTCTAGTTTTATTCTATTTGTTTGTTTGTTTTTTGTACTTTTGTCTTGTTGTATGTTTAACTGTATACTTCTTGCCATCACCTGCCAAATAAATGAATTCAGCTGTCATGTTCTGTCTCTTGGGAATTTCCTATGAGCAACTAAGCCTCCCTTCTTACCTCTGATCCCAGTTTTTCCATTATAACCACATTTCTGGCCAGTAAGCAGAAGGTCCACATTACACCTGGTGCTTATGAAGAGAGAGGAGCTAATGACAATCAGCAATCAATTCCCCTCAGCTCAGAAAGAGCAGAGACACAGAACACAATGTAACTGAATCGCAGTGGGGGGGGGCAGGTCCTCCCTATCCACCTGCGTGTAGCTGACGGGGGGCTAAGATGTAGCAGGCAGGTGCAAACTCACCCTGAATACTTATTTCTGTCATTGCCATGGCAACAGACATCATGCATAAAACATCACAAATTGCTTCCATCAAAAAGTACACTTATTTTGGGTTGAAAATATCCACAGATCTGTGCATTTTCCAGTGACATCCAGAACCCACTTCAGTGGAGTTTAATTACAGAACTGAAGCGAGACAGAGCGGACATGCTGACCGATACAAGAGCCCATTGCATCTTTCTAATGGAGTCCAGGGTACAGAAACCTTGACTGATCAATGACTATTGCCCCACTGTTGAAGAAACTCAGGGAATTGCCTCTAATTCTCGCTACCTCACTAACTGCCTGCGATAGTGATTCCTGCATGTCTTGGGCATGAGAGCAAACGCTGACCACTCAGTCACCCTTATTAACAGGAAAACATGGAACAACTCAAAATGGCAGCAAGGTAGGAGGACAAAGATGTGCAGATATAAAGCTGAGAGTGACACTGGATTTCTGTCCTTCGTATGAAAACCAATAACACGGCTGTAGGAATAAGAATTAGAATCTTTATTGCCACAGCACAGATCAGCACGTCTGTACCACCCCTTAGTATGTGTGTGATTATACACACACACACACACACGCACACACACACACACACACACACACACACACACAAACCACACGCAGAGTATGAATGCAGTTATTTCATTTTATTTTATAGTTCACTTTAAGGCGGTGCTTGCATGTTTTGTTGTTCTTTCCATCGTTAAGTCTCACACAGAATGAAAACCACATGTGTAGCTAAGTTAGAGATCTGTGTCCGTGTCCAGGAGGCTGTTGGTTCGAATCTCATAGCCTTAACCCCAACTCCTCCAGGGACGCTGACTACACCCTCTGACCCCGAGCTCCTCACCTGTGCCTTACTTTGGACAAAAGTGTGTGCTAAATATGTAAATGAAGCTCCACGCATTTGTCCTGTGTTTAAGAAAGCTGTGGAACAGAATGTTCCTCTTTGTAAAATGCCTCCACCCCCCCTCCCCCCGACTCCCAACTTTCTCACAGTAAAGGGTCATTTTACTCATTGCAACAAACAAGCCAAATCTCATTTCCAGCACCCTCAAGGACCAGTCAAGTCCATGTTATTTTAGTCTAAAAGAATATTTTTCTTCTTGTCTAGACGGGGATTTGTGTGACAGGATTTAACCTTTTTTTTTTTTTTTTTTTAAAAAATGACAGTTACCTTGAAAAGCGCTGGAGAGAAAAGACACAGGAGAGATCTCGGTGAAAACTGAAGCTCTCGCATAGCAACATAGCGCCTGAGGCTGGTCGATCTTTTCACGTGCAGACAGTAAAACAGGGGGAATCAGCTGGGAAAAAACCAGCCAGTCCCATGCGGTACAAAAACAACCGCAATATTAATTATTCATTAATCAGTCATTCATATTTATGATATTATCATTGTCTTTGACATAATTATTAGTTTTAAAATAGACTCTGACTTTGAAGGCGCCCAGGGCAAGAGCTGAGCTACAGTTTGCTTTTATATAATATACAAATTTTTATAAATTCGAATAACTTTTATATTATATATTTTATATTGTCTATAGTTAGACATACATCACCAGTGCAAAACCAGCACAGAACACAGAAATGGGTCCACAGAGCAAATACATGAGAATATTAGAGCAAAGAGGCAAGAACACAGGGTGTGTGCAGACTTAGGGGGGGGGGGGGGAGAACTGCCCCCAACTGTCTCAAGCAGCAGCAGCTTTCAGACAGCTTGTGGCATTAGTGGTTTTTTTTTTTTTTTTGCCCCTCCAGGAAATCGTCACACAGGCCCAAGCACCCAGGTAGCCTGTGCTGAGTCACAGATCACACCAGTGAGTCAAAGCACCGCCCTCCAATAAAAACCCAAAAGGTTAGCTAGCCAGCTAGCTCCCAAGTTCATGACACACCAGGCAGCCCTTATAGCGTCCCCTACTGGTCAGGGAGGTGACACTGTGCTTGCTCGTGGGGGAAAGCCTCAAAGACAAAGGAGTCAGAGAGCAGCGGCTGGCCTGTGCCGGCAGCCCATGGGGCAGAGAGGAGTGGAGTCCGAGCACCAGCAGCCCCCTATATAAGGCCATCCACCAGGAATAGGTTTACAATTTATACATTTATATACATTTTAATGCCAAATTTGGGTGCATAAATGCAATGTCTGTACTTGTAGAAGTGTCGATCATGCTGTTATGTAACTAAAATCCCTTTATGTCACACAAACACGCACACTCACACAAACACACACAGGCTTTATTACAAACCTGGATTCCAGTCTGCACTTTAAAATAAAATCTGAGCATGTCGCTTTTCTGTCATTGCCCCCAGTTTCACTCGGGGGGGGGGGGCTTTCTCATTCACTCTGACTCATTACAAGCCCTAACAATTAAAAACACTTTCTGTACTTCACCAAACCCGCTGTTTCAGTTGCACTTGCCTGCTTCCCTGCATATTTTTAATTTCCCAGTCCACAAATTAAGGTTTCCTAAGTTTTGGATCCAGGCAGGTTTGAGAAGCAAATGATGATTCGGTAAGGCACTGGAAAACCAGCCTGCAGGACCTCCCCCTGGCTGTCCTGAGAGTAACTGCAGTTTGGTTCGACTGTCTGTAGGGGGCAGCAAGTATGGTCGTGCTCCTCTACTGTGGGAGCCGGTCAGAAGTCCTCCTCCATGTCAATGCTGCTCCTCCTGCTGTTGGTCTTCGAGGGCCCAGGGGAGACAGCGGCAAACAGGGGGTCGGCAGCCCCGGGGGGGGACAGGACGCAGCCCTCGTCCATCAGGATGTCCTCCAGGCCCACGCCTGTATACAGACCCGTGTTGGCCTGTGGTTCATCCAGCTCTGCAAAGCTCAGGGTTCCCAGGTCCAGGGGGCTGCCCACAGTCACCCCCACCCCCAGGTTGGGGCTGGGGGGGGAGAGGAAGGCGGGGGGGGCGGCAGCCTGTGCAAGGGACTTTGTCTCCCCTCCTGTCCCATCCAGCAAGAGAAGGCTCGGGGGGGGCGCGGGGCCGACCTGCTGCTGGAGGGCCACCTGTTCCATGGCCAGGGGGGCGCCCATAGGGTTGGGGAGGCCATGGAGCCGGGCCTGCATCTCCAGCTCCTTAAGACACGACAAACCAGTTAATGCAGTCAGGCGTGGAGACGCAAGTCACCCTTCTGCACGTCGCGGCTCTCTCACCCATACGAGTGACCCCGCCCAACTTAAACTCTGCCCCCTCCCCCCTTACCTGTATACGCAGCAGAAGACTCCGGTTGGCATGCTCCAGCCTCTTCTGCCGCCCCTCCACCTCCTTCACCTTTTGCTGCTCCTTCTGCAGCTTGCGGATGTAGTCGACGGAGGCCTTCAGGATGGTGCCCTTGTTCCAACGCATCTCGCTGTGTTTGCGGCAATCGCGGGGGGGGGTCAGACAGATGAGTACATGCCATATACCATCCCCTCCACTGCATTTCCCAAACTACCTCATCCTTAAAGGGCTCAGTGCCAGATCCCTACGATTTACTGGGATCTGATTTCCGCACTGTATCATCTGAAGCTAATTAATTTAACGATGTACCTGCACAGTGGGGAAAATAAACTGCCTGAAACTGCATTCCACCTGCCTCCAAATGTTGGTCTTGCCGTGTGTCTTGGTTTTATATGTGTCCTGCGAATGTTCTCTTTCTAAACACTTCTTTTTGAATTTGAGACCATATTGGGTGGAGGACAAACAGAGGTTCTGATTGTGCGGCACCGACCGGAAACACGACACCGGGAGACACTCACGGGTCGCCGCACTTCGGAATGAGGTCTCCCAGCTCCTTGATGCGGTCATTGATGTTGAACCTCCTTCGCCTCTCGACTGCAGCAGAGAGAAGAGACCGGTTGGGATCAGGAGAGACCGGTTGGGGTCAGGAGAGACCGGCGAACGTGCGGTCGAGGCAGAGCAGAGCGGTTAAGGAACCGGGTCTTTACTCACTGAGATTGTGGTTGTCCTTCTTCTGCCTCTCCTTCATAAAAGCTTTGGCCTCCACATCTGAAAGACACAGAACACAATCAGACTGAATTTAAAGAAAGGGAACCATGCGACAGACACATGGCAGGAACGGAGAACGCAGATGGCCAGCATCCGGTCAGCTTTAATATACCATTTCTTCCCATAATGCACCAAGTTACTTAATTTCAGCTGAATCGGATTATGGTCAAAAAATGTTCACTCCCTGATGTAGCACCTGGGATAGTTTTCTAGCCAAAAGAGTTTGATTATGAACTACAGCTTAAGGGACTAAGAGGAACCGAGAGCAAACAGAAGATGAAAGGCCAGCATGCTGTGGTCGGGGTGGGAGGGGGGGTGGGGGCGCCCTACCTGTGAGCTCCCTCTTGATGTTATGCAGGTCAGCAGGGCAGGAGTTGCTGACAGTTATGGCTGGGTTGGCCCCGCCCGGGCTGCTGTACACATCCAGGAGGTTCCCTGACACAGGCAGCTGCAGAGGGCAGTCACGGTCATCAGAGAGGGCGGTCACGGTCATCAGAGAGGGCGGTCACGGTCATCAGAGAGGGCGGTCACGGTCATCAGAGAGGG